TTTGATGGGAATTGCAGTTCTTCTCCTAGCTCTCGGGCATCTCCAGCATCTCCAAGTCGAAGCAACTGCCCTCACCTGGATATCGGTGGGATTGAACTGGTGAAACTCCAGACTTTCCCCTGCGGCAATGTAAATTATGCTTATGATGACCTCTACTATAGCACTGACCACCAGCCATCAGCTTTGGCCGAGGTCAGAGCAGCTGTGCTAAGGAGCTCCAGTCTGCATAAAGATGAAAAGCCATTTCATAAAACAGAGAAAACATCAAGAGAGAGGGACTCTGGGCTGTCTTTGTCAGATGACCTAAGTGTTACTCCAGTATAACAGAAAAGGCTCTTCCAAAGATCAGGGAATGTGTGTGTCTGGAAGGAGTGCTTCCTATTTCACTTACTTCCTCCATTTCAGTTCCTCCAGATGGGTGATATTTCAACATCAGCAGTGTTCCATTTCCTCCTTCTACCTGCTGGATCCCCACATCGTTAAAGATAGTTGCTTTTCTGTCTCTGTCCATCAAACGTGTTCCACTGAACCAGCTCAGCGGTGGAGAAGAATGGCATTGCTGCTCTGACTCAGAATACAACACTTGCTGAAAGGACTCCTCCTCAATCTGCTCAGGTGAAAAGAAATGGACCTGCCATCCAACTGCAGCATTTGAATGAAAATAATGACCAACACAGGTTGCGCTTCTTTCTGACCGAAGAAACCAAAAACGCGTGCTGTGGCAGCAGCAACCAACTTGCAAAGGCTGCTATATTCCAGAGAGCTTTTTACAGTCCTCATGACTTACTGATGATGCTCGTTTGCTGTAAGGGCGGTAAATAAATACCAGCCACATTTGCATCTGTTTTATTAGCAGGCCCTGTGGAAAAACATGAAAACAAAGCTACTGCTTAAATTTGAAGCAGTAGGGATGTTAAAAAAAAAAAAAAATCCAGGCTCCTCTGAGCATGTGCTTTGAAAACAAGCAATGACGAGGAAAAAAAATTTACTATTGAAAAAAAAATAGCTGGTGGAGCTGATGGTATTCTTTTGAATAGCAAAGGAAATGTGCTGCTTGTCTCATGGTGTCGCTTTCCTCACAGCTCCTGGCGTGGAAGGGGCAGGTGGTTTTCCAAGAAAGGGTGAGCTGCATGAGGTGATGAGAAATGGACTCTCTTTATCTTTTAATGGACTTTACTTGGGATGAACTTCATTTTTGTAAGTACTTTGATATTCAACAGTGATTTCCTGTGCTATGTTGGTAAGCATTAAGCTGAGGTTCCCGGGTAACTGTCTAGCATTTGGTGCACTGGAGTTCTTGGTTTTAATGGTAGAAACAAAGGAATTGCAAGGGAGGGACAGAGTGAAGGGAAAGGTAATACAAACATTCCCTTTACACAGGAAGGTAGAATAGATCAACCCTTTGAGAACACTAAAATCATGACTTGGCTTCACACACCTGAGCAGGTTATCATTTCTTCTCACCTTCCAAGCATACAGACTTGCTGGTGAAGGTAGGTGGTGTTTGTTTTGAAGATAGCTTGTTTCTTAGGCTTTCTTGTGTTGCCTAGGGTCTAAACTGATGTTTAGTGGTTAAAGCCTCTAAAATGAGGGCACTGTAAAAAGTAAACAATTTGTGGTGAAGGTAGGTGGTGTTTGTTTTGAAGACAGCTTCTTTCTTAGGCTTTCCTGTGTTGCTTAGGGTCTAACTGATGTTTAGTGCTTAAAGCCTCTAAAACGAGGGCACTGTAAAAAGTAAACAATTTAGATTAAGCTTTAACAGTCTCAGAAGCTTTTGTCCTTGCCCCACACCCCGACGTTGCACTGCCAACCTACAGTGGCAACTTACATGCTGCCTTCAGGTCTAATAGAGTTGTACGGTGAGCTGTTGTAGACTCTGCCTGGTTCCTTTCTGAGGGAAGACGTGGGCTGGCAGGAGAGGGGTTGTTTTGACCACACAGATTTCCTGTCCTCTGTGTCATTCAGGGATGGACACTACTGAGACGTGGTACAGAAAAGCAGAGAGTGAAGAGTCTGAATGCATTTTGAGTAAAATCCATCTTCAGCTCAGCGTCATGCTCTGTTGGTCTGACTTGTACCTGTTCCAAGCTTCCTATAGTTTTAGAAGCTCAGCGTCATGCTCTGTTGGTCTGACTTTGTACCTGTTCTGAGCTTCCTATAGTTTTAGGCCTCTGGCTTTAGAATGAATAGTTTTATATTCTGTCATTTCCAGAGCGATGATGATGGCTACCTCACAGCAATGACCACATATGGTATGGAAATAATTCCAAATCCAGGTGGTCAGAACAGAGGGGTCCCTCTGTGCACGGGCAAATTCCAGGAGTGGTGTGGGGAATGCTGGGCTTAGTGACTGAGGGAGATGGTTGCCCTTGCCTCATGTCCTTCTTTCCATTTCCCCTTTGCTTTAGCTCTCTGGCTTCTCTCCTGTTTACCCCATTGCCTGTCCCGTCTTATGTCCAGGAGCTGCCACAGCCCAGTTAGATGAGGCAGGAAAGCCCAGTTAAGCAGGAAGTTTTCCCATTCTTCCCTCTTGCAAAGGCTGTTTTTTGGTCATGTTTCAGGCTGGCCACCTCTGGAACATGCTAGTAGTTTTTCCCTGCTGTCCACGTGGTTACCCAGCTTGAGCTATGATTGTTCTCCCCATATGCAGCACTTGCCTCAAGTTAATTCATTAATTTAGAAAAGTTAATAGTGATAAAACTAGATAAACCATTGAAAAGTGAAGCGAGAGAAGAATACAGTTCTATTACCAATGCCACATGCAGTCTTGGGCACAGCTATGCCTTCATTTATAAATACAAGTTCTTCAGTCCAGCACTTTGGGCAAATACCTGTTTTTACTGAATAGCTGCGTCAATGTCCTTATTTACAGGAAGAGCATAGACAAAGCTGCACTGAGCCAGAGTGAAACTCCAGTGTAATGAGACATAAGATGGAGCTGCACGTACCAAATGGGCACTAAAAGAAAGAGCCAGGAATTTTAAAAGACTCTGCATTAGCAACCTAAGTTTTATACAAGCTGTTAACTCCCTTAAAGGTAAACGAAATTCTGTCTGCAGTTGCCATGACTCTTTGACCTGTAATAGTTTTTCTGTGTATATCTGATCTCTTAGTTGCTTTTAAAAACCCTTACGGATAATGAATTTTTAATTGATATCCTGGAGGAAAAAATGCTAATATTGCTCCTGTTGTGATGCTGAAATACTCAATGCTGTCCAAACCATATTACCTAAAATGAAAAATAAGTCGCAACGACATACAGAACAACCTTCCGTCCTACAGTTCTGAGGCTGAAACTTACTGTTTGTACAATCACAGATTTCATAGTGCTCAACTGCTACTATTTCAAAATATAACTTGCTTAAAACTGTTTTTTAAGGATACATTTTTAGTGCATAATCAATGAGTTGAACCCATAGTGTCAAAATTAGATTACTTTGGCAATTGAAAGTCAAAACCCAGTTTTGTTTCCTAGAGGAATGACATGAGCTGGAGATCTGGGATTGATTCAGTCCTATGATCCATGTGAAAAGTCTTCCAGCACTTCCCCACTGCAGAATCAGCCATTTCTAGGATTATTATAAATCACTCTTCCTGATGTGTGTGTCTTTTAACATGTTACCATCTTGTTTTTAGATACGTGTGTGTATATTGTTGTTGGGGTTTTTTTCTTCTGGGCTCAAGCATTAGTACTTTATGTTCCTTCATACAACCTCATACCTACATTTTAAGGAAGGGACTGAATAACAAAAGATGAAATAATAACGCAAAATTAAACTTGTCTTTCTCTGCTTTCTTTTCACATTTTTTGATACTCTTGCTTCTGATTTCATTATCTTTACTCTCTCCTCAAGTGTTTTGTATCTTAATTTTCCTTTTAAAGAAACAGAAATTTTAACTGCACAGGTTTAAGGTGTTCTCTCATATCAGCCCTTTTTCTGAGGTAAGTTCTCCACTGATTTGCCAATGGGCAGGTGTGCACTAAGAAAGCTTCACAAGTCTAATTAAGTAGTTATGGACTTTTGCAAGTGTAACTTATTCCCCCTCCAATACCCTTCCCCTGCTTACCTGAAAGAGAAGAAAACACCACTGTTGGGAGTAGGATTTTCCTGAGTGAATTTGCATCTCCACCGCTGGGTCAGCCAGGGACCATGCTTCCTCAGGCCCTCAGGTCAGAGCTCCACGCGAGAGTTTCTCCTGTAGACATGGCCATGTCCTCCCATCCATCCCACCCTTTTCAATCTGATGCAGAGACCTTAGGCATGACATCACTAACATCTTCCCGTTTTGTCACATGACTTCTTCCTTTAGTTGAATTGGTTTTGATTTGTCATTCTCTCCCACCACAGCAGCATTTCTTGCCAACTTACCTTTCTGGTGACCACTGTACATAAGTACAAACCAGCTTCTATGCAATTTAAGGTTACCTTTCTGGTGACCACTGTACATAAGTAGATGACACACCTGCTTCTATGCAATTTAAGTCTGGACAAGTGTATACTTCTATATTTGCAACACAAAATAAAGAGACATTAATGGTGGCTATTTGTTTCCCTCTCTGCTAAGTACTCTTTGCGCACAGGTAAGAGGACATTCTCTCTTGCTGAGAGAGTGTTGCCAGTCCCAGAGGGGTTCCTTGTTCCCTGTTGCCACACAAAACTGCCCGCAAACAGTTAACTGCTCTGAGTCTGCCAAGTGCCTTTTGATGCACAATTTTTTGATATACTGTAGGCCATTAACTGAGACTTTTGAGACGGAACTTACCTCAAAGGAAGCTGTCGAGCTTTGTGTAGATCAGTTTCTAAAGTAAACATACTTAGTGGGTTCTGGAACCAAGCTCCAACATTAGCTTCTAGATTTCTTAGAACCGGTTTTGTTTTAGGATATATTGGATGCTAAAGATTAAAAGCAGAAGAAACATAGAAATAGTTTTTGTCCCTCCCCTAAGGCAATTCTTGAAGAAAAGATGTTACTGTCCTGTGACTGAATCACAGTGGATGTCTTTTTTCCTCCAGTCTCGTTTATTTAGTAGCATACACACTTCAGAGTAACAAACACTCAATCAATACAGTCAATGTCAAAAGTGACCATGGTCAGCATTGCATTGTAGTGTTCAGAACGGATGCGCTGTGGATAATACAGGCCATTCGATCTCAGTACCTTAAGAATAACAAATAATAACAACAGCAATACAAAAAAAAAAAAAATAGCAAGAGCCCTCTGAGATACTTAAGGGTTTGGTCCAACTCCCATTGAAATATTTCCCTAGAATAGGAACTGGATCAGATGTTAAGTGAATTTCCCTCTGCTTTAAAGAAAAATAAAAAAAAAGGAGGGTTTTAAATTTTACCAATTTGGTTACATGTCATCCAAATTTATATCCTTGTGGGGCCCCAGCACCCATCATTTTTAAACCTAGCTGATATATCTTTTTGTGCATTTCTTTCTATATTGCACCTTCCTCCAAAGAATCTCACAGCTTCTTGCAAGCAATAATGAAGGACAGCCTCACACCATTCCTGTGAGGTAAGTAGATACTATTCCCATCTGTAGAACGGGAACAAAACTGAGGCCTAGGATACTTGTCCAAGGCCAAAAAAAACCCAAGTCACTGATAAAGCTGAGGGACAGAAGTCCTACTGCTAGACTCACACAGGAACGCAGCAGCGACAGCAGTAAGCATTGCTGGGTCTAACTAGTGAGTTTGAAGACCTCGATGCCCAAGTCAGAGGTGAGCTGTTCAGCACCAATGTGCCTCTGGGCCAGCACATCTTACCGTGCTGTGCAAACACATGCTCTCAGTGTCTCCAGAGGGAGGCAATATCTCAGCAGAGGCATTAAAGAACTACACTCTGGGCTTGTATGTGAACAAGTACCTTGGTTACGCTGCATCAGCTCTTCTATGTTACGTGCCTGTGCACAGGCACCATGCTGGCCCTCTGGTAAATATGAGCTTATTCAAGGCAGCTTACCCCCTGGTGAAAGAAGGCTACACTGCTCCCTCACACTAGCACGTGAGTGTACACAGACAGGCACTCTGGGCTATCCCACACAAATCAAGGTACCAAACGTACCCTGTGGTAGGTTGCTCATGAGCTCTTTGAGCTCCAGTGCTCAGCTGCAGTCCTCTACGCGCAGTTTGCTAATGAAAAGCTGCCTCCTTTTCTCCTTTCCCATAACAGCACCAGAAGATTGTGGCTTCTTCCCTTCTAATCCCTTCACAAGCCAAAGGGCCATTTAAAAACTAACTTCCTAGAACTATTCACCATCCAGAATGAGTTTCCAAACAAGGTCTGCTTTACCAGAGGTTTGCTTTTCCCCCCCCCTAACCTTTTCAACAACTGCAGAGGAATGGATCATTCGCCATGTTTTCCCCCACGAGCACGTACTGCACCCCATCCAGGTGGTAGCAGCATGTGGGGTTTTTTTTGAAGCTGCTGGTACCACATTGCTTCTAGTTCTCCTGTAGAACTGGGCATCACTCTAAAAGTTTGTCTCAAATTCTCAGCTGACATTTGAGCATCAACTTTTACCCTCTAAATCTCCCCTCTAGAACATAAGTAAGTTACGCCAGTGCAAAAGATTTACACACGGTAACAGAAGAAGGCTATTTAACTCTGAAGATTAATTAGGCAAACCACTAATGAATTCTATCACCTTAACAGTCTAATTTCTGACTTTTCTAATGTTTTTAATTAATAGGACTGCTTGCAATTGCAGTCTCATAGAAAGGTAATTCTCCTTAAGCACTGCTAACCGATGGCTTACCTGTTGGCTGCAGGCAAGGAGGAAGACTTCTTTTTTTCTTTTAAAATTGTATGAAATTCACCACAGATTAATTTGTCATCTCATAGCAGTTCAAAAGTTAGAAGGCAGCTGGAATGATAATATCTGTGCTCACTGTCGCTTAAAAAAGTGTAAACCCTCTGAAAGATCTAAGCAGAAAAACATTAACATACTATCATGAAAATAAAACTGGGAGGCCACAGAAGAAGCAAAAATAATTACAAATTCAAGCAACTTCTGGTTTAGGATGAAATGTTTCCCTGTGTCATTATTTCCCACAGAATACCCACTCCATGGTATCTAACTTTTAGGTCACAACTGAGCTTGAATTTTTAATACTGATGCTTTGTTTAGAGGTGATGAAAAAGTTATTAAATCTGACTGATCTCTTACTACAGTAGCGTGTTATCTAAAGGAACCCATTTTAGAAATTATTTAGGCTGTTCAATTCTAATTACAACTGTTATACATACATTTTGTTCCAGTACTGGACTCTACAGTCTTTTTTTGCTTGTGATCACAATTATTATTCAAATAGCACTTTCCCAAAGCATGGAGTCACCTTGTTACATACTAAAGTTCCCAGAATCTCTTCTGAAGACAGGACACGGGCAAAAGACAGCAATTTCAATGTGCATTACCAGCTTTAGGTGTTGAAAGTGGATTAACAATCAAATAGCAATATGTGTCTTGCCCTCAGTTTGAAAACTGCATCATCACGTTATTTATGCTAAAACATGGAATGTGAGTGAACATGTGAATACTGATAGTATTTATACTGATAGAATTTAAAGAACTGTTCAAGTGAGTAGAAGCAACCAATAGAGAAGGTATGTCAAGCCATTCCAAGGAACCACTTCAGTCTTTCTTGATTTTAACCTAAACACTGTGAACTTTATGTGGCCGTGCCTGGGCCACAGCAAAAGAAGAATGACCCACAGATAGTCCTGCGATTCCCAATGGGGACGGGGGGACGGGATATATTGACATTCCTTCCCCCAAACTGCCCTGAGTTAACAGCTGATACCTTGGAGGAAGGACACCTGGGCGCTATCTCATCATTAGTGTAATGCTGTGAATGCAGAAACATTACCTTCCCCATGGCTGCGCCGGTCTGTACACTGAAGTGGCAGCATCAGATTGGGAACAGGAACATGGCCAAGCAGTCACGCGCATTAGGAGTCAGTCAAACCATGATCTTAAGAGATCACATTGGTTACCGGCTACTAGTGCGAGCGTGTGTGTGCACGTGTATAGGGGCTTTGTCTTTAAAAATAAACAAGCCTTGAAAAAAAAACAAAACAACCAACCCAACCCTTAGCTCCCTGGTCTGTGTGCGAAAGAGTCATTACTGATTTTCAGAACTGCAGTTCAGCTGCAAGAGGCCAAACTTGCCAAGGTAGGCACTTCTCCAACAGCCCACCCAGTCTGAAAGTCAGACATTTTTGGAGACAATAGGCTGCTATTCCTAGAGTATTTGTAATCTCCTGAGAGGCTACGTAAAAGCAAAGGCTGTTCTTGGATAGAAGAGAATCCGGGCTGGGGTAGGGAAGAGGAATGGTCAACACAGCAGTTACCACATCCAGCCACTACAAACTGCTGTCTCCCTTTACTCCAGATTTCTTGTGATGATCACCCATTTCCACCTTGTGCACACTGTAACACAATGCAGCAGAAGTTGGTGGTCCAATCTATAGCATACACAGGAGCAAGGAAACTTGCAATTAGGGGGAGGAAAAAAAAACCAATACCACTCTTGCTGGTTTCAAAACTATGCACTTCCCTGAAAATTGTTATTCCTACCCTTAATCCCCAAACACGTGCTCTGATTCACTAAGAGGTAATCTGGAGTCCCACCTGCTTGCCAGAAATCAGAATCATTCTGGTTTACCACACAGATCTCTTGACTTGTGCTGGTGTGTTTCCTGAGTAGGGAGATCTTCATTCTCTGAGGACCAGACTGAAGTTAGGCTGGTACAATACAGACCAATCTGGAGTTATTTAGGTTCATAGAGGGCCGATGTAAAGTCGTTGTGATGACTAACTGCTGGGTTCTGGATGCAGCTCCCTCTGCACTGGTGACCTCAGGAGTTTGGAGGGAGTTAAAGGTTTCCTTCTGAGCGATCCCAGTAGAGCAGAAAGTCACAGAGCAGCCCTGCAAGTTTTGTGCCATTCTCAACTCATCTTTCAGTGATGCTTTCCAAGATGCGAATCAAATTGTCCAATCCCAACAAGTACCCATCCTCCCTGTTGCCTTCTTGCCAGGGAATCCTGTGATCCAGTGTCTGCCCATCAGGGAGAAGCGTGGTCTTTCCAAAATCGATCAGCCACACATTGGCATTCCCAGTGCTATCGTGTACAAAAAGTAGTGAACTTCCAACGACCTGGAAGACAGATTGAGATGATGTGGTTAAAAACACATCTTTAGCTCTCCCCCATCACCTAATGCTTCCCACTAAGAAGATTACCTCCTCAGATGACCTCCTCACCTGTGACCCAAGAGACTGTTGGGCTGCACTCACACATTGACAATTTACGTGCCCAATTTCATAACCATATCAATTAGTAAGGTATTAATGGGCCTGTAGGTGGGAAAAGGGACCCAGCAGATAAAGTGAAGAAAAGCAATTCTCCAGCTCTCAATTTGAGCAATTCAGCAAAAGCCAGTGACTACTTTCAAAGAAAGACCATGACCCACAATTAACAAAAACACCTCTACTGAGAAGAGGAAATCAACAAGGTAAAACAGAATGTCTGATCTCACAGTCTTGACCTGTAATGAGCAGAACTTACAATGCTAATGATGCCTTCTCCACAGCAAAACAGACAAGGAGAACATACAGAGTGGAATCACACAGTCTTTCAACGTAAACCCAGTACACCAAAGTCATTGTCAAACTACAACCAAATACTACTGCAGCAAACACAAGCTTCCACATTACCATTACACCACAAAGATTCCCACTGGAACACACCAAGATAAGAGAAATCACAGGAAGCTGGCAGTAACAAGCCATTCCCTGCAGTGGCCCAGCGCTGTAAGTGCTGGGAGGTTATAAAGGTGGGAGCATTTATTATTCCTCAACTGGTTTAATCTTCTGTATCACTGATGGAGGCTTTGAGGTATCTGTGTTGTTAACATATATTAGATTTTTTCTACTACAAACTCCTTCTTACTAGTACAGCAGGCTATTCTGAAGTACATCTGAAGGACCAAGCAAAGCAGCAATGCACCCACACAGCATTACACTCACTGCTCACCTCGTGTCGCTTGAAGAAGTCTGAGGATTCAAGAATTATATGAATTTCCTGCAGACGCTTGAGGTATTTTTTCTGGAGGAAGAGGAGGAAAAAAACAAACCGTAAACATTGAAGTAAAGAATGAATGAAGATACTCTGTTTACAAGAGTTAATATAACGAAGAGATCATGTTACTTTTAGGCTAGAGGCCCTTCAAAACAACAGGTTCATCATTTGAAAGTCAAACTGAAAACACACTTTAACAGGCTTTCATAGTGACTGAGCAGACTGGAGTGTCTCTGCTGCGTGTGTCACACTAAGCTTACTTACCTGGCTTGCTTTGGATGCAGCAGGATAGCATCTGGCTGCACACCTCCTGCATCCCCCCCCCTTTTTTTTTCTTTTCTTTTTAATAAAGATGAAAATGTTTCAAGCAATTAAAAATCTTTCATTCTCCACAGTGACAAGGGAATTAGACTGTGTTAGACAAGGAGCTCCAACCATGCTGAAGTAGCACACAGGAATTGCTCTTGGGGCTAATCTCACACACAGGAGCACAGCCAGTCTAATCTCACGCACAGGAGTGCCACCAGCCACCAACCTCACTTCCTGCCCCCATCCTCTGGTTTTATCCTCTCCAGACTGAATTCCCAAACCACAAGTTTTCCTGCCAACACAGTCCTTGCTTAGACACCATCTATGCATCTCTGATGCATCTAATGCTCATGGTCAAAGCTGACTGCAAGCCATAAGTTACCTCAAGCGACATTTTGCTAGAGTGAGGAACTTGAGCTGAACTCCCGGCAAGAGCTGCCAGAACTGGTCTCAGCCAAATCCTTCTCACAGCCCACCAAGTCCCCATGCCCAGTCCACCTGCTGCGAGGGACTGGGAGTCCAAACCATTTTCTTCCTTGATAGTTTCATTGATCCTTCTTGTACCAGAGGACACCTGGCGCTGAAGCAAGTTCATTGGGTGAAAGATCAGCGAACCCAAAGAGTTCAGACTCACCAGAATAGTTGTGTTGCCCTCAATGAATTCCACAAAAACCTGTAGGACTTGCTCCTGTGTCTTTGTAGTTTTGAAGTTTGTGTTACATGTTCCATCTGCCTTCTGTGCAAAAACACACAAAGACATGAGATGATTTTTACTACACACATATCATTCCCTTCATCAGTCAATCCTCTTGAACCACGAGCAGCTCAGCTCTCGCTAACCAGATGAAAGCCAGTAGTTGAACAGGAAGAGGGCAGATAAGCCAAGCAAGACGTGGAGAAAAGACAGAAAAGCTGATTGGATAACTTTAAATGGCACTGCATTTCCTGTTCAGTGCAGTTAAAAAAAACCCCAAACTCATGGTATTGCCAGCTTGCAGGAGGGTTCTCTCATGTCAGTAGTAGCAGTACAAAGTTCAATGGGGCAAACCACAGTGACCTCTTTGGTTGTCCTCTCATCTAGCTTGGTGCAGTCAAACCCTGGCTGGGCGTGTAAGGGGACCCAAACTAGTCAAACCCAGTACTAGTCGCTTTTGTTTGGTTTTATTATTATTTTTGTTTTTCAATGGGGAAATCAAAGCATTGCGGTTAAGACTCAGTTCCCAATATAACTTTGCACATTAATGTGACCCAGAAGTCACAGAACAGAAAGCTAGTTGCAGCCAAGAACAACTCGGGATTTGACATGCTAGGAGTGACAATTGCTAACTGTGGCAAAGCAGGTGTATGAATTTTGGCAGAAGACAGCACATGCTTGTATCCAACTGGGTCCTGGAGAAATTCGGAGTATTTTTGTGCTAGCGGTACGACTCACCATCCATTCAGCAGCACCCTGCTACTGAAAAACCAATTCATTTTATGTGCTGGTAGTGACTGGTTCATGCTTGTGGGGCTACAAGTAAGAGCAGTGCATGAATCGGAGATATGTGTTCAACACAGACTATACAAATATGCATTTCTCCAAGAACATCCCTGTTGCTTCAATAGAAACAGATATGAGCTTTTAGGACTCACATGTAAATAGTCAGTAGCCTGTATACACTAAAAGCCTGCAAGATTATCAAACGGCATTCCTCTCCATCGTATCAGTCCAACAAAGTACCTTATTTCCATTGTAAGACTAAATCAACAAGTCATCAAAATGTGTTCCCTCCCACATGTTAAAAGTCACTGCACCAAAACTGAGTAAATTCAGTTCCAGTCTCAGCAGGTGAAACACTATTTACTCCACAGCAGAACTCAGCCCCTAGTATATACATGAAAAAAACCTGATAATGCTAAATTTCCAGATTTATCATGCAAGAGACTGAACCGACTGAATGGCAAAGCCATGCAGAACAGCCTCCCACCTACCAGACTTTCTAGCAGCAGAATAAACAGAATTTTATTCCAAGGCCGTGGGACAGATACAAGTGTGGCATGTCAGCCTGATGAGATGTGTAAGTTATGCAAGTGAAGTTCAGCAGGTAGGCACGGAAAGTTAGGAGCCATCTGATCTGACGTATAATATTCAGCAGCACGTAGAAATTTGGAATGCTGTCTGATGCCTCGTACCTCTTCACTGGAGTAAGGTTGTTTTAAAAATAATTTCTCCCGGTGCCCCAAATCCCCAAGCAAAGTCTGGAACAGCTGCTGTGTGTTCCCTTTTCATCCTTTTTTTTTTTTTGTCTGGACAGACTAATTGCTTGCCTCCCTGTTGTTTAGAAACACTTCCATGACTTTGTTCCTCTGCAGTGGCTGGCAGGAAACCTAACTGCTGCCTGACTTCACTTGCTGTAAACAACATCCAGATTTTGAAGGGCACCATCCCTCATATTCCACACCAGGTCCTTGTACCAACTCTGGATGTACCTGATCCCCAGGAGGCACTTGCTTGACTCTCTCCTTGAAGTCATACCTGTGTCAGGGCCTCCACACACATTCCTGCACAGCAGAGCAGTTCATCGAGCAGTGCAGCTATGGGGTCACAGGCAGCACTTCTCATTAGATGTGACAGTGACACTGCTGGCAGGAGGGCAGGTTTGGCTACTCCATAAAATAGTGCTACCTCTATTAACCTCTGCGGTCTTGCTCAGATTCCTCTGCAGACTTCCCTTAACAGGCTCTGGGTTAAGGTCGTAACCTAAATGGATTCACAAAGATTTATGAATCCAATCTGATGTCCTCCTGGACAAACAGCTATCCCTGATCTACAGCTAATGGAATGGTTACCAAAGGAAGCAGTAACTTCCCAAACTGCACAGAGATTCAGTGTCAGAATGGGAAGCCAGAACTCCTGATTCTCAGCCCCGTGCATCTCTGCTCTGCCAAACTATTAATGTTGCAGAGATGCTGTTTGTGATGTCTGGCCTTCAGGCAGGCCATTCCAGAGAGGAAAGCTGCATCCTGAATCTGCCAGGCACAAGTGAGGTGCCAGATGTAAAGAAACCCAACGGCTCCAACTATTTTTGATAAGAGGAAGAGGAACAAATGCCATAAGTGAACCTGGCCTGATTTCAGAGATAGGGAAGCGAGGCAAGGAAAGGAGATGGATCAACCTAAAGAAAAAAAGGCACTTCACAGAAGGGTTTCTATGATTTCAGTTTCTTTACTCCTGCCTCTTATTCCAGCAGCCACACGGCAGGAACGACCAAACCCAGCCTAGCTAACTCCAGGAGTTCAGTGCACCCAGGGAGAACAACCCCTTTTCCCATCAACCACTAGCTGGCACCACTGACCCTTACAGGCTCTCCTCTCAAAATGGGGATCTCTGCAACAAGGCTTTGCTTTTCTGCAAATATACAGAGTGGATGTATGGTTCAGCTACAGTGAAACAGTGTAGGGAGTGCTGATTAGCTGTATCGCTTGAACAACGCACTTTGTCACCATTTCTCCATGTAAAAAAATAGGAGAACACCTACATCCCTCATAGCAGCACAGGGAGACAGAGGAAAAGGTAACTCCAAAGTACCTGCAGTACTCCAAAGCATTTCTGCCCTTAATAAAAGATTAAGTATTTGTGTCCTGTTTTGCACAGTTACAGCATTGTCTCAACAGAGGGAATTATGATATGCAGTGTGCCCTACTGCCCCTACCCACCTCTGATAACCAGCCAAACCACAGTGAACAAGCCAGGAGGCTTTACTGTGCTCCCTTAGCTCAGTCGCTCTCCAGGACTCAATATAGATCTGTAAGTCTTCTACATTGACCAACTGTCTTTCCAAGAACATACAGAAAAGGTCTCAAGATCATCTAGGTTTCTGATTCCATTACACAGAGCATCCAAAGACCTAAGTGCTGTAAGTATTACAGGAATAAAACGGGTATCTTCGATAACACAATTAGATGGCTAAAGGGTAAGACAGGAAGTGTCTTGACTGGACTGGAGCCAGATCATCTACCACCCAGACAGTTCCTGCGTGAGGATGCCTGTGTGTAACAGCCAGGAGTGGGTGGCACAGCATACAGGGGACAGCACAGCATGAGCTGGAAGCCCTGGTTCTGTATCACAGCAGGAAAATCCGTGAATGAGGAAGGGAGAAGACAACACAGGGAAGCAGAGAACAAAGGAATGTTTAAAGAGCCTCTGCTCATCAGCATCACTCTCTTTTATCCTTTTCTTCTTCCTACGTGCTTGAACTATGAAATGGAAGCAAAACTCATCCAGATTATTTTATTTTTGGTTATTTGGCTTTATTCCAGCTCCATCTATACCAGATATTGTAATATACTTAGAAGGAAAGGGATTTCCTCAATCCCAAGAATATCTAAGCTAATGTTTTTAGCATATCTTGCAAGTAGGCATAACTGGAACAAAAAAAACCACTTTACTGTGATTCACTTGAAATAAATATGTATCATTTCTGGATAAAAAAAGTAATGTCATGGGGAGAGGCGGTTATTTCTTCAGTTTGGAATCCCTCATTTTCATTGTATCTACTCTGTGTACCTGCTTGGGTAGTTCCTGCAATGTCTCTGTGGCTGAGCCAAGTATGGCTGACATCCATTTGATGTTTAACTGCGTTGACAATACTCTGCTATAATTACTATGAGTGTTTTAAAACCACCAATACACCAAAATCTGTGGTTTTAATTACTGCATTTTCACATAATCCTTTGGAAAACCTGGCTACTGATGTGCATTAACTTTTTGATTAATCAACAAATCAAAGTTCTGTCTCCAAGATCAGGCAGAAGTGAAACCTTTACCTTAATCCCTTCAATCCTGAAGCCCAGGTTGGCACTGGAGCTGATGGTTTCCCTCCACTGCATGTATCGGGGTTTGGTGACAGCATGTTGGGCGTTCTCTTCAGCTGTGGGAGCAAGAGGATCCACTTCAATCATTTTCTTGTACATGTCCTTACGCAGCTTTGGTTTCTCACGGGCCTTAGTCAACTCCTCCTCCAGGTACGTCCTGCAAAAACATCACATCCCAACAAAACTGTAAGGCCTCCCCAAACATTGCTTTTTTTACAACTTATAACCTACCCTCAAGAAATGTCAACCAGGAAAATTGTTATCACTACCCCAGTTTTGCATATGGGGAAACTAAAGAACATAGACTAATGGTTGCACAGGCCTATTTAGTGAAACAGTTGCAGGAATCGGGAGTTGTGCCATTCACTTCTTGTTCTAACTATTCCTTTACTTACTGTTACATGTCATTGTCATGTCCTGCTTACAGAATGGGAGAAAATTGAATTCCTACTCTGCCATGAAATAGAACTGTATTTTCAGAGGACAGTCAGGAGAGATCAGTTACAGTGAAATCAAAAGCAATTAAGATTGCTGAAGTCTTACTGTCTTCTCTCTCCTCAAAAAACATCAGTCGTGTGATTTATTTATTTTTTAGGCCTCAGAAAGCAATTAAGGTTTTACTTAATGCATCCAACAGGGAAAGACAGAATCCCTTGCCATATAGTAAAAATGAAAGAGTAAAGCAGATTATCTGAGCAGCTCCAAATCAGGAAAGGTAACTAAGAACAGGAAGGTCAAAGGTGACAAACCTTCCACATTTTGCTGTTATCACTCAACCCATAAATCTGGTAACCATTAGTAAAGCACTATCCGTGTTCTAAACATTCCACTGGACTTCCCTCTTGCATTTTGTCAGGCACCTGGAGTGTACTTTCTTCATCACAGTGTAATAAATCAGGCTGGTGTTCAGGAGATGCTGTCACTCATTACCAGAATGTCACCTATTCTGAATAAAATATCTACTGCTGCAAATCCTTCTCCTCTTTCTTCTGGGCATACCAGTGCTACACATTTCTACTCTGATTTAGCTGACAATTCACTTAAGCTTCTGCACCTATTTGAAAAGGCTTGTCTGCACTCCTCTAAGTTGAATAACTCATTTATGACAGTAACTCTTGAGCATCTGAGCTGGCAGCCAAAAGATTACTATGACAGTTCATACCTTTCTGTACTGTTACTCCAGGCTCTCAACAGATTCCTTATCTATTTGTTATGCTTAGATAACATTTTTGAGGTTTTCCTTTCAATCACAGGCAAGAAAAGGAAAAGAAAGTGAGTATCTGCAGAGCAGGGCAATAGCATCATGAAAATCTCAGAGTAGGGAAAAACACAGGCCAGTCCTGGGTAGATGGTCAAGTCTTTTCTTTACAAAAAAGACTGATACCAGCAAAGACTCATTCAAGCATTGGAAATGGGCTTTCACACTGTTACTCAGTCACTCACATTTGGAGATGGGAATTTCACTCTTTGTGGGGTTTTTGGAATCACTGAGTACACAAAGATTAAATGAACTGGCAGTGAATGAATCACGTAATTTCCCCCCCCCGCCCATTTGTATTATCAGGCCACTGCAGAGAAACTTCATCTTAACTCACACCTGAAAATATCTTGATGTGGATCATTTTTGAGGCTATAGATCAATCAGTTTACAGAATCCATGTACAGTCAGGCAACAATGAGGATGTACTCTCCTCAGCTTGTCCAAGGCAACTACCAAGCCAACAACAGGTTGCCTAGACTCAATCCCAACACTCCAAAAACATTACCAAACTTCTCAGACAAAGCATGCCATATCCCCCCGGCCCCTTCCCCCGCTTCCTTCAAATAGATTTGGGTTAGAAAGCACTTTTTCTTTCAGGTACCCCACCTGATCCCCATCTTGCAGTCCATCACGCAAGGCCCTTCAAAATCAGTAAGCAAGTCATCCAGTTGAATGTAGCTCTCGCCATCTCTCTCCACCACACCATGGAAACAAGGGACACAGGAGCGTAGCGGGTCTTTCATCAGTCGCTCAAAACACTCCTTTTCATTCTCTGAGAAGCGTTTGAGAATCTTCCCACTATCAGCTGCCTTGAAACTCCCTAAAAAAAGAAAAATCAAACACATGCTGACAAGACTGATCTGTAAAAAAGAAAAACACCTTCCCCCACCACTCCAGCTTCATCTACCTCAGCCTCATGACACCAGTTAAAGATTTCCCCTAAACAGAAAAGATAACATGCTTTTCATAAAATATAAAACACCCAGGACAAACACAGCCATTGGCAGTGAAAGTCCATTTGGATACATTCCCATGTCAGAATTTATAGCTTTAAGGAACGCAGCTGCTCAAGGTGATCAGGTTTTTTCCTCTGTGCTAAACTCTTTGTTAGGATATCACACACTACTATACTTATTAAAATGCACAGGAAGAAGCCTGGAGCCAGAATTGATTAATCCTCTGACAGGCTATTTTAAAGCTGCAGTGTTGGCTTTGTCCTTAATCCTCTCACAGGGTACACCTGCCGAGTGTGTACGCACCGCGGCGGTAGGGTCAATCAGTGATCGTTAAACAGCCACAAACAGGCCAGAAGCCAAGCACTGCCCTTTCTGCGCACACACACATACACACATGCTGTGACCGCACATGCTTGTACCTCCAGGTACTGCCTCTCCTCCAGAGCCCTGCTAGTCTGCAGGGTCAGCCTGTAGTGCAATTGCCTTTTTTTTTTTTTTTTTTTTTACAACCCTGTGTCTGAACAGTACCCAGTACAAATGACAGTCTGCATAGGCCGAGATTGGCAGTAATTAGACTCCAGCTGTGGAAGTCGCTCTCCTGTCCCACAACCTGCCAATAACGTCTGAGGAAAGTACAGGTTTCATTCAGAAGTACCTTTTAATCTACATGACATAAAATAAGCACTAAAGTAGGAGCTCAACTTTTATCACAGCAGGATCCTTCAGCCACTGCAAACTGGTTCTTCTCTGACAAATCCTATACTGCCTTAGCACAACGGTGAGGGTGGTGATGGCCCAGGCTTTAGTTTAGAAAAAACTTGTCACATCAGAGAAGAACAGCTGCAAAAAGGATGGACTAAATGCAAACACAGCACACTATCTAAAGCAAAACAGAGCAGTATCTCTCCTCACCTTCTAGTAAACTCTTAAACCCTACTCCTCCACCCTACTACAAAAGCTTCCAAGAGGGTCATGATTACACGACCAGTGAGTGCATCACTCCACACAGATCAAGCCAACACCACACACACTGTGATAAAAACTGCGATTAGACTGGGTCATCTTGGCACTCCATGTGATACAAGTCAGGCCCAGCAACACCATCAAATGAAATTCAGCTACTCCATTTTTAGGGCTAAATAAATTTCTCTGCACAGCTTTGGAGTGCATCATATTAGTGGATTAGCATGTAAAGAGGTGGTTCAGGTACTGCATTAAAGCACGATGCAGCGTAGGTGCCTGCCCACATGTGTACTAATAAACCCCGCATGAGCACTTTAGGAACAAGGGCTGCATAGGAATTAAACAAAGCTCAAGAGAAGCAAACCTGGTAACTTCTCTTTGATGTTTTTTTTTTTGTCTTACCAATGAAACAGAGCCTACATCAGGAGCACACTTACCAAGTTCCACAGACATAAAACTCAAACCAGTCAACTGAGCTTTTCCTTGCACTCATACAGTGAACAATGACAGAGTCGCAATGCAAATGCCTGGCCAGCAAGTCAATTTTCAGCAGAAAACACTTACATTCAGATGAGGGGTCTGGGGCTGGTATTAGAAACACTGTCCTTGCCAGGGCTGAGGCACATACAGGCATGGACAGCAATCCTTCCCACTAGGGAAGCACCATATTGGCTACTCAAGTCAGGAAAGATGATACCATACCACAACCAACAGCAACAGAGGGGCTAGGGCTTCAACTCCACAGACCCTCTTGTTTCCCTCCAACACATATTTTACATATACCACTTGACAAGGATACATTGGGGCCCTGGCTCTTCCCAGAGTCTGACCATTCCTTCCTTGCTCATCTCATTGTTCAGGTATATCACTCCCCCTTCCCTATCTCCACCACAACTGAAGAAAAGATGTTCTAGTTTGGCAGATTCACATGATACTGCCCGTTTCCTTTTACCTGAAGGAAGGAAACAGAGAAACACTGTTTTCCTTGCTGCTGCCACCCCCGCTCCAGAGACAAACACATTGGAGAGATCCATCTCACCTGTATGCCCAGCCAGCTGCACCCATGAGTAGCGTTTCTTGAAGGGGCTGATGACTGGTAAGTTAACCATGGTTTTAATTGTATGCCATGCCTTTTTCTGGAATACAAAGAAAAGAAATATTAAGCTGGGCAAAAGCTGAAATCCTGACATGCCATCAACATAACACCTAGCTTCATGAACATTGAATTGTTCCTGACTAATTTGTAAACGCTCAAAGGTGGAACCACAAACAGACACAATGATCATCATTGGAAAAACACGCACATAAAACCAAGAATGAACAAATACTTAAATATAATGCCCTATCATCCACAAGAAAGCTGCCTGCAAGAAATTAAAAAAAAAAAGTGTCACTGCACGTCACAGGCCTGTTCTTAGCCACACCTGACCCTCCCGTGTCTGAGTCATGCAGTACGCGGAAAGCAGATGCTGAACACACACTTATGCACATTTAAGTTTCCATGAGACACGAACATAAGCTGTTTGCCACTGTCAGCAACACTTCCTTTCCCAGAGAACTTCAGCATCACCTTGTGATTAACGGCTTTCTCCAAGTCAGCAGGTGAGTCTTACCGCGCCAGACGCATAGGAAATGCATCTTAGTTGGACACAGAGATCTCTCACGTCTCTCAGCACCCACTGACAATGTGCTGTGGAAACTACTCCCAGGTCACGGATTTTCCTGCTCCCTCCCCTCTTTCCCTATCTTGTTACTTTTTAACAAAGCTGGGCATTTCTCTGGCCACCTTTGGCTGCGGCAGAGTGCAGCTGTGTGGATACCCCTGCAGGCAGAGAGGGAAACGGAGCAGCTGCTCCCCTCGGAGCAGCTGAGTGCTCTGTCCCAAAGGCAGAAAGAAAAAAAAATTTAAAAGCAAAAAAAAAAAAAAAAAAAAAGTAGAAAGTGAAAAAGTCTTGTGCTCTGGAACTGAAACCCGGCTGCGAGAGAACCACAGCCCACTGGCGTTCACATTACACTCTGAGGGATCCCAAAGTGCCTCACAAACAAGGACAGCAGGCTCATTTCTTCTGTCACTGGGACAAGATACCCTGCTGGAGAAAAAAATGGAGCTGCACAGGACTTGTGGACAACCATTTAGTGCTGAGGGTGCTTTGCTGAGATCAAGTATAGTTGGAGATTAGGCTGCATTTGCAGAAGTGCTTATCAACAGCCTAAATGGGATTCACCAAAATCAATAGGAGGCATTGATTTCACTGAAAATGAGTTTAGGTCATTGGTCAACACCTGAAAAATCCACCTTCAAAACAACCAGGTCTTCTCTAGCAGGGATATTGATCTGACAGTTTAGGTGCTTAGGGTTTTATTATCTTCTACACTATACTTCTACAGAAGTGAAAAATACAAAAAATGAAAGTGCAGGCAATGACACACAAGCAAAACATAGTTCTCCAGATCACACTCAGACTCGCCAATCCTTCCCAAAACTTGTTCACTTATACCATGTTTCTTATAAGGTATCCTCTAGCAACGATGGTCACCATGTGAGGTCAAAACCCAGTGGCTATCTCAGAATGTATTAAGAGGATATGCGAACTCACAGATGCAAGAGATCTTTCTTTTAAGGGTTTGTCTTCACAAGAAAGTTCTAAGTTATCCTGAAAATTAAAGGGACATAACAAAATAATCACCATATGAACATGATTTATTCTGAAATATGATTGCTTCTTCCTATTTAGCCTTGCAGTGCTGAACAGCGACTTGGCTCTATCACAGAGGTAGCTGCTGTTTAATAAGGATGAGAGCAACTTTTGTACACCATGTATAAACATCCATAGGCTCCTTCTGGAGCAAAGTGCAATGCAACTATTGTTATTCAATTAGCAAAGACAAATTATTTTTGTACAGTCTATTTGCCAGATTTAACTGATGGCAGAAGCCCTCCAGTCTACTTTGCTGTTTCTACTCCAGAGGGACACAGCCCTAAATTATTTAAAGAACAGTTGAAAGTAAACATGGTTCTGAATTAAAATGAAACCTTTGAATGTAACTCCTGCCAAAGATTTTGTTTTTGGAGATTCCAGCCCAGTTTTCAGGGTATCACTGCTTTTCCCCCATCCCTTAATCACAAGTCAGCATTGCTCCGTAAGTCTCCCAGAAAGATCCTATACTCATCATAATGCCCCACTCCTAACAAATTGCATCCTGTCTCCCAACAACTTGTCATACTGCTACATCCAGAAGTGATGAGAAGCTCAGGTTTTCAAGGAATGCACATCAACTGTCCCCTTCTCTGGAGATTTTCAAGTCCTATCTTGATGCAGTCCTGAGTTATGTGCTCTGGGCAATCCTGCTTTAGCAGGGGCGTTGGACTAGATGATCCCTTGGACTAGAGGTCCCTTGCAACTCCGACAATTACATTGACACTTAACGGAATCATGGAACACCACACTCTTGTGGCTTTCCCGCCTCCTCCCTCCCACCAAGCCCTAAGAAGCTGCAGCTTTCATTTGTACTGTGGGCGTGAAGGAGACAAGGGGCCAAATTCAAATTCCCCAGCTCAAGTGGACTTTGGCTGCTTAGGTTACAGCTGCCTTGGATGAGTACGTTTAAGCTACTCATCCAGTAAGCAGACATTGACAACTGTTTTTGTGTTTTGTTTTTTTTTTAATTTTAAATAATCTCTTCACAAACCTTTTTTCCCCCCAAGGCAGGGAAAGCATGAGGCTCAAGCTAGGAGGGAAAGGACTGCTTCCAGACCCATCCCACAGGGCGTCCTGCCATCAGCAGGTGTTCGGCTGTTGCACTTTCCTCTCCTGCAACTTCCAGTCTCCCAACTCACCCAACCCAGGATGCAAATTGCCAGGATGCAAACAGGGCTGCATGCTGTTGGAGCAGTGGTGTGAGTGGGAAGATGAAAACTTTGTGTGCCTGCTGTGGGAGGAATCTTTCTCACTTCTATTTCTAAAGCAAGATATCTTCCTCTTTGTTAGCAATAGTAGTACGCGTTTCTCAAATCACTGCTTTATGCTGCAATGGCAAGGAGGACTGCTACCAGTGCCCATCTGTATTTGCAGTCCATATCTCCCCAATTCTTCTTGATTCCTGCTCAGTCTTCTTCATCTTTTGCTCTGACTGGGTTTCTCCAAGCCCTCATTTATTCTAGATTCCCAGTCAGTGTATGCTATTCACATATATTCAGGGAAAACTCAGCTATCTCTTTATCAGGATTGCCTGAATCAGATGCCCTTGACATGCCCAATGCTGTTTTATATGCCTCTTCCCAAAATATATATGCCCATTCCCAAAAGGGCCAAGAGGAAAAAATGAAACTTACTAACATTCTCAGATTCAACATGTAAGTTACTCAATGTTAACTGTAACTGACACACTAAATATATATGTGCCCCTAAGCACATAAAAGGTATGAGATGCTGATGAGGGGAAAAGCTAGTTTCCTGCCAGCAGGTCCGGCTGTGGCTGTGCCACTGGAACTGTGTCCCTGGTAGCAAAAGAACAAAAATTTAGGAGAATAGCAGAACTGATGCCCGCAATGCAGCCACAATGCATGCAAAGGACGGTGGCTCGGTATCTGACATTGATCTGCGTTATCTGCATTACACTTCTGAATCTGAAGCACAGCACTGAAGAGAAGCACACACCCATGCAGCAGATGTGGCGGACTCGCTCTGTGTTAGCACTAGCGCATGCAGCCAAAGTGTTGGCCAGATGAGGTATTCCCAACCCATTCAACCCTGGATGCAGGTGGCCATTGCCATCATACTTATCCATTAACAGCAAAGATGAGCAGCAACTGAAAGCCACTGGTTTCTGTGAGCACAGCCTTCTCCAGGCCTTTTCTCGTGACTGCGAGCACAATTTCATACATTCCTAGTATGCAGAAGCAGAGCCGTGATGAGCCTGCCCAAATACACCACTAAGACTTAGCTGAGAAAACCCACTAAACTCACTGGGAGGCGTTTCATCCATTTTAAGGAGTTTTGGCTCAGGCCTCACTGTCCCCAAGAATTAACGCACAGGAACTACCCAGCTTTCCTGAAACCCTCCTACCATTTCAGGACAAGGGCTATAACATCCTAATAACCCAGAACACTGAACCCTGAACTGGGTGGGGGTTTTTTGATCACTGCTGCTGGTGTTTTACAGGCAGCATAGAGCAACAGAAATCTCCCTACTAGTGTATGCTGAATTCCTCAGGGACAGGTAAGTCACTCTGACTCCTAAGGACAACAGGGGATAGGAACTTGAACCTTCCTCTGCTATTCTGTGGAAAAATAAATAAAATCTCTCCCTTATTTAAGGGTAAAATGAAAATAAAGATCTCTGTTCTGTGAACACCTTAAACACATGTAACTACCCTCAGATAAGCACTCACAAACAGGCAACATACACAGGAATTTGCAGAATTGAGTCCTCAGTAAAGAATTTACAATAATTAAAAACACCAATCACATCTACATTAGTAAGTATCAGGGGAGGGAATAAGGAAAACTTTTTTTTCAGAGAAAAAAAACTAAAACCTATCAGTTTTAATAATCCTAGCATGTTACGTGAAACTATAGTGAGTTAAAGAACAAAAGTACATAGAAATATAACATAAAAGAGTCCCTAAAAAGGTTCAGTTTTCCATCATCAGCAAAGTGGAGGAGTAGTTTCTTGCCTGAGCTGGTAAATTTTCATGGAAATTCTGCTAGACTATAGTAAACAATGTCCCTTGAATCTCTTTTCCAGGAAAATTTCAGCAGTTTCTTTATCCAAGATCCTGTTGTCTTTTTTTTTGTGCACTAGTACAGAGCCTACGCAAGCCTACAGAGAGCTATTATGACAGCAAGAAACAAAAGGATAGTGAGGAATTTCTTTGTAATCTCTCCCCTACCCCCACCCCCCCGTAAATGGCTTTAAGAAAGAGTACTTAATTGTCAGTCATCATAATCTACTGTTCTTTTGAAGTCTTTACATCACTTAGGCTAAATTCTGCCACTCTGGGACATGGGGGCTGATATGTGATCTGTATCACTGGTTGCCACTGCCTACTCAGTGAAGGAACAAGTATCCTCCACAGGGACTTGTAAGGAGTACAGAAAACTATAATTATCAAAAAGTTACTACATGTGTTTCAAAATAATTCTGCAAGAGCCATGTGCCCTAAAGGCAAAAGCACTGAGCAATACCCAGCCTGGCAATCTCAGCCAATGCAGTGCCAATGAGCAAGCATGAGAGAAGCTGCTGGGTGTTGGTGCCTTTCCAGACACAGTGGCCGTAATGATAGTGACTGGAAAAGTAACACCTGGGAACCCATCAGACCACTAGCTGGAACTGCCTTCTACGAACGGGCCCTAAGCTAACACTAAGCATTACTAAACTGGGTATCAGTTATGACTTATCCATGCACTGTATTACTCATTCTCCAGTGGCTCACCTTTCTGCTGTGATTTTTTTTTTTTCCCCCTTCTTCTCTTCCTTCCTGGCTCACACACCCCTATTACCCTCTTCCAGCACTACAACAAATACTCATAAAGTCCGTAAGATTATACACAGAGCCTTCGTAAGGATCAGTGTGAGCAGATGGTAGGGTCTAGTCCTGCAAATAGCTCTCTGTTAGTATTTGTTCCTTCTAAACTCTGTGTATGTTTTAAAGTTTTATTATTGTTTCAGCTTTACTTTTTATAGCATATACATTTACTTAACTCAATAAATGTTTTTAAAGCCCTGTGAGCTAATTTTATCTACAAAATCCTTGACTGTTTTATTTACTTTAGTTTATTAAAACTGAAATAAATCAGCTTGAAAGCTAGTTTGTTTTCTTTATGCCATTTTACTACAGTATTTAATTAAATTTGGAAAATGAAATTAACATCTTCAGATTTGTTCTCCATTTTCAGCATTGTTTGTCACTTTTTTGACTTGGCTTTGACGTGACACATTGGGCCTGCACATACAAAGAACTTAAATGTAGGTCCAAAGCTACTAACCATATTATTTTAATGAACTAAGCCTAGCTGGAACAAAACTTTGCTTTAATCTGTCTCAACGCAGCCATTACCTGCTTTTACCATAAAAAGCTTCCATAAGAAGTCATTTTGAGCAGACCACAACCAAGACAATTACTAGCCTAATTTAATTACCCTGTAACTGGATATGCTGCTCTCTCTGAATGTAATCAATATCTACAGTACTATAATTACAACCTATTAAAAAAAAAGTCACAAACATTTTAACAACGAATCTACTGCTTTGTCAAAATCACAATACTCCACCAAGACAAGTTGCTATCAGCATCATTTACCCCAAACCAGTGAGTTTTCTGTAGGTGCAGCTTTACTGCAGCCAGCTTCAAAGGTTATCAGGGATTTCATTTTTTCAAGGGAATGCAGCTCTGGGACAGCCAATCGTATGGTTTCATCTCTTGGAAAGATCTGGGGATTTGAGTGATCTTATATAAAAAAAATAATAATTTAAAAGATAGTGAGAGTTGCTGAGCAACATGGTATCGTTTCAGTTACAGTCACAGAATTTGCCTCGTGAGCAATTCTGGTTTCGAGTTCTTTCAGTTTGAGGCTTAGCGCAGTTGTCTTTGCAGACCTGAAAGAGGCAGGCAGTTGACTTGGTCATATCCAGATCCTGGCACAGCATTTTTACGGCCAATATAAGCAAATTAGGATCATAGAATCATCGAATTGTCTAGGTTGGAAGAGACCTTTAAGATCATCTAGTCCAACCATCAACCTAACTCTGACAAAAAAACATCACTAAACCATGTCTCTAAGCACTATGTCAACCTGTCTTTTAAATACCCCCAGAGATGGTGCCTCAACCACTTCCCTGGACAGCCCATTCCAATGCTTGATAACCCTTTCAGTGTAAAAAAAAAGTCTTAATATCCAATCTGAACCTCCCCAAGCACAACTTGAGGCCATTTCCTCTTGTCCTATCGGCTGTGACTTGGGAGAAGAGACCAATCCCCGCCTTTCTAAACCCTCCTTTCAGAGAGTTGTAGAGAACGATAAATAAGGTCTCCCCTCAAGCTCCTTTTCTCTAGGCTGAACCACCACAGCTCCCTCAGCTGCATTAATCAAGGATTATAATCATCCTTGTTTTTTCTTCTAATAATACATACATATACATAGATGCACACTTTTAAAATATCTAAAGCAGCTAGGAAAAGCTTTCTATTGCCATTGATCAAAATTCCATTACTTTCTTTTTTTTTTCAGTTGTCCAGACTATAACAATGCCCAGGCTTGGGATCATTTGGTATGCGAAGAAACTTAGGAGACTTAAGAAGACATCATACTGCAATGGTGAAAGTGAGGCACACATACAATTTTTCCCTAACTTATCGGGAGAAATATAACTTAAATATCCACAAAGGCTCTGCACACGGAAGCAGAGCCCGTAGTTAAAACAAAAATACCCAAATAACAAAGAAAATCCCTGAATTAAGGCACTTACTTTATACTTTCAGCAGCCAGTTGCTGTGTTTTTGCCCCTCATTAAAGGTTTCTGGAATCCTCAAACTAAGGAGATTCTTCCTGCCAAATCTACTACCCACTTGGCTGAATCAGACGTGAATCACAAATCGAGACAAAGATCTCATTGGGTGGGAGGTGAAAGAGCAAGTCAACGAGAAGAATGCTCCCCAAGCAAGCTTCGACAGGAGTATGTGGGCAAACACACAAACCTTTATAACTAAGTTCCTGAGTGCAATGCTTGATTCAGCTCCCGAGACAGGGTGAGGCCCTTACAGCTAGTGACACAGTCCCATTACTACCACATTTCAGCTTTTCCTGTCACTGGGCAGTGAACAGGTTCCCAAGGCACACAGACACTGCACAGTAGTGATTGTTGATCACTAGACAAAAAGTTATTTAGTGCCAGAATCGAAACATTGCTCTATGATAACTTACACCAATGGACAGGCCAGAGTCTGGAGGTCTGAGCACCTGCTTAAAGAAGTCTGTGCCCTAACCTGATACATAACAGCATCACTCTTCAGACTGCCAGAGGTGCTATGCCACCCAACATCAACTAATAATTTGCCCAAATCACTACAACTGGCCTTCTGCCAGGGCAACTGTGTAGCTTCAAACGCTGTCAGCTGTCACTCAAGGAATACAAACAGCGTAACCATGACCTTGATCAAGAAAATCAATGAGCAACCTCCACATGCCAGATGCCTTGGGAGCCTTGACCATCCTTGTATCTGCTTCAGTCCCCAAGGGAACTAACGCTCACTGCTTAGTCACACAGTTGTTCTTCCTCTAGCATATAAGTGCCAGCTGGAGACGCAAGACTGATGATCAACAGCAAGGGAGGACACACACTCCTGAAGAACAGCAGTTCGCATGTTACATGAGCAACTTCCTGATCAGCACCTCTCATCAGACTGCCAGGCAAACTGTGACTACACCTTCATTTCTCCCTCCCTCTCTTTCACCATCCAGTCTCCAAAGCTTGAGAAGAAACAGTGCTCAGCCTGTACTTAGCCCTTGATGCTTCCGGTTTTGCATTCAACCATGGGTGAGGGCCACAGCTGCTCAACCAGTGTTTGGCAGGTGTATCCTCTGACTGCAGGGTTTTCGTTTCCTGTTTGTACCACACTCAAGATGGGCTGGGCTAAACCTTTAGAGTCATGAGAAACACTTAATGCAATAAGCAGAAACAAAGCTTCAAGACAGAAGCCTCAGGTTCCTGTGTTTTCTCCTCATCATGCAGTGAGACGCATACATTCTTTGGCTCGCTGTTCTTTAGGATACTACATAAGCTTGCTGGATATTCACTATGCCTGGACTAAAGGAAGAAGTGAAGAGAAATGTATGGTTGGTATCGGACTACATTACTAGCAGCACAAAATCCCACATCCCACTCTACGGTTGGATTCTACTTGTAATTCCAGGAGCAGTGTCTCTCCAAATCAGAGCAAAATGATGTGTGAAGAAGTGAAAGCATCGCTTGCCTTTCTGCGAACAGCATCAAGAGCCACAGTCTGTGACTATTCTGCAGGAATAAACGTTGGCATTCTGCTTCTGATCATTATCAAGTGAAATACCTACTACCTGTATGTTATTCCCAGGACAAAAGCCAAGATAGTCAAGGAATTAGATAGCTTTATAGCTGCGCTGTCACAAGGGCTTCCTTCACTTTTCTCACTGAGATGCTGTAAAAGCCAATACTATTGACTCAAAGACAGATTTTATTTTAATAAGAATCTACATTTTCCAATCTAAGGGATACTGAAATGCCTACCTTTGATAGCAGGCATTAAACATGGCCGTTATCTCTACCATCGCAGCTTGCGCTCTGCTCTGAAAGCCACTGGTTCTCTAGCAGGATGGAGCTCTGCCACCTGTCCCTGCTGAACTCAGAAAAACTGAACCAAAGAGGTTCTGCCCCTACTAGGGCTCTGCCAGAACACCAGTCTTGCTGGAAACTGAAATGTTATTATCCAAGAAGTAAATGGAAAGTTCTTCATTATAGGAAAGTTGACTCACTTTCAGAGCCCAGACATTCAAAATTTATCCAGGCTGTCCATCACTCAGAACAATTTTGTGGTAAATCAAACATCGCTTTAGCAGATGGTGCTGCAGGAGGAAAGAAATCTTTCTTAACCTCCAAAACAACTGCAGTTCAAGTCTTCAGAAACTTCCTATGCCACAGTTAGGCAATTTGAGAATTTTCTATCCATTTTCCATCTGTCCTCCACTGACCATGGGTCACTGATTGACAGCACTAGTCGTGAGAAAGGGACATCCAGA